CCCCCCCCCCCCCTCCCACCCCCAAGTACTCAATGGTTGTAATTACAGGAGGTAGGTTTTTATATCAACTCTGGACATCTGTGTCCTGCATTTTGTGTCCATTCTTCTTAGCATAATTGCTCTACCTCTGTCAGGTTAGATGGGGGATGTTTGTGAACAGCAATTTTCAACTCTTGCTACATACAGTATATGTGACTTTGGTCTGTGATTTTACTTGACTATTATCATACATTCTGCTCCTTGGCTTTAAACCAATTTGGTGTACATTTGGGTGTTTGTTTAGGGTAACTGGCTTGCTAGAAAGTGGCACACCGCCCTTTCATCAGGTTCTTTGTGTAATGAAACAGGTTTTCATCTAGAGTTGCCTGTAATTAGTTCAATGCATCTTGTCCCTAGTCCTTGCAAATGAAAGGCATCCCCAAACTTGATCCCACCACTATGGATCGCTGTGAGGATGATCCATGGCGGTGACTTTTGCTTTTGTTTTACCACTGTTGTACATTTATATATACTTTTATTTTATCACTGGGGTGCTCTTTTATTTTTTGCACTGTATAATTTTTATCTCCCCTGATGAAGCCACCTAGCAGTGAAACATGTTGAGATTGGGGTTGTGGGGTATGTTTGATTAGTATCTACTTCTCTGTTTGAAATCTGAGGAACAAGGGACAGTTAATTGGGGCAGTGAGTGTTCTCCAATATCTACTTTGCCCTCCTCTCTCTTTTAGCTCAAAATAAAAAGAGCCGAATTGGAAGGGTTAGTAGACGATATACTGTAGCATTTAATGTGTTATTCTGAATAGGGGCGAAAAGCCATCCGGGCCCAAACTTTTACCGGGCCTTAAAGAGGATATCACACCTATCAATTCATCCTCCTGAAAAGGCAGCTCTAAGGATTCAGCATTGGCTGTAGGAATAACAGGTAAAGCCGTATCTTGAATATAAGCTTGTAAATAAGATAAGAAGGCACCGTCACCTAGGCAGAATGGGAAAGATTTTACAAGGTGTCATAAAAAGAGTGAAAAAGATCAGTTGGATTATAGACAAAATGGTGATGAGAGTCCCTTAGCATAGACACAGCCACAACAGTATTTCTAGCATGAAGGGCTTTGGCTAATAATTTACCTGGCTTGTCCCCGTGCAGATAAAAGAGAGTGCAAACAATCCCTAAAAGATAGGGATTTCTAGTCTAGTAGCTTTTTTATTATACTGTTGTTGATTTTCATGACTAAAGGAGAACTATGAGGCGAGTGATGTCCACTCATCCTCATAGTTAGAGCCGACGTGTGACAAAGAAGCTCTATTCATCAGGAAGTGAGCAGAAACATGAAGCTGATCCACTCACTTCCCGATCGTCTCTCCACAGGGATTCCCCCCTCCCCTCTTCGATCCTCCAGGACTGAGTATAGGAACGAACGGGGGAGGGGGCGGGCACAGCTGGCTCTGCCTCTAGATAGGACTTGCCAATAACCGACTGGTTTTTTTTTCAATTCAATAAAAGGACTTTTTCAAAATGTGTTGTTTTTTAAAATGTACTTTTAACCTTTTATTGAATGAGTAGGGTTACAAGTACCCCTTACTCATTCAAAAGGGGGGGTCGGACGGCAGCATCTGGGTGCCTCTTGGCCAGCTGGAAGCACTTTTGTAGCTCCGTACGACGTACGTCCTTGGCAGCGAAAGGGTTAAATGGGTACCCCAATGCTAATAAGCCCCCCTGCCCGCAGACCCTCACAACCACCGGGTTAGGGTTGTGGGGACGAGGCCCTTGTCCCCATGGGTATGGGGACACCCTCCCAATGCAGAGGGCACGTGGCCTGGTATGGTGCAGGGAGGGGGGGCGATTGATCGTCACCCCCAGCTTTCCTGCCCAGATTGTCTGGAATCAATGGGTGGGGGGACCTTTTTTTCTTTTGTCTAATGTCACTTTGTTGCACCGAAAATTTGTTTATAAAACAAATTCATACATACTAGCTCTAACAAACTTTTTTTTTAAAGTTGATGCGTAACACAATAAAACTTCATTTGGGAAAGAAATCTGGATGTTATCAGAAATTCGTATTCGTTTGCATTCATCATTTCTGTCATTCAGAAATTCGTATGCATCCGAATGTACGATTTTCGAAAATTCGTCCAAATAACGAATCTCTGCTATATTTTTTTTCCTATTCTTCTTTAAACTTTTTTTTTATAAAGTATAGATCTTGCTCATGGTATCAATAAAAGTTTTGTTCTTATAATGTGAGAAGACATCCCTATCCCACCAAATTCTAGTGTAGCGCCCTCTAAAATGTCGCTATTCAATTTAGAAATGTCTGGACTGTAACCAGTCTAGATGCTGATTATACAGAGCTCTGCATTCTATAATGGCCCTGAGTCTGCTGGATTGATTGCTTCTCCTGTTGCTGACGAAAAGGGAGCCTTGGCATACAGTGAGGGAGGATCCATCCTCAGACTATGACTATGCACCTGACCCTGACCAATCCCTGAGCAGGATGACTCAGAGGTATGGTTGAGGGCAGGTAATAAAAGGTCTGGGGGACACTGTGCAGGTCTCTCTCTTCCCCCTGGGGGGCCTCTCCCTAGAAGGTCTCTGTGATGCAGATGGAACTTGCCTGGGCCTCAGCACATGGCAGGTGCTGGGGGCCTAGAGGCCTAGGACACCATATGGTCCTTATTGGAGGGGATTTTAACTTTGTTTTGGACCATTCAAGGGATACTACTGCTTCTCGGGCCCCCCATACTCATTCCCGGTTTAATAGATTTAAAAAATTTCTAGATAGACATAATTTAGTGGATGTTTGGAGGCTCTTGCATCCTACAAATAGGGTGGAGGACCCCACGCTGCTGTTTTTTTTCTTTTGTTTACATTTTCTTTATTCAGCTCACTACCTTTTAAACCTTCAAAAACATACATGGTTCCAATGTATGTATGTAACTTCTTTACCTCTGTAAAACCTCTTAATAATTTTTAATGACCAATTACATATTTTGAGAAATTTCGGATGCAAACACAGAGGCCTTGTCATGTGCTGTTCACGATATACGAACTTCTTCTCATTGCTCATTCTCAAACTAAGCCTTAATGGGAGGAGGACTTTGTTAATATCAGAGGCCGAATGGGATAAATCTTTTTTCTTAATTCATAGTATGTCTTGATCGACTCCACATCAGGAGTGTAACTATCAATTTCTAGATGGTATAGGTGTACGCAGGACATCCATGTTTTCAATCCTGAAGTACCGTTTTGGAATAAAATATTAGCCATATATAACAGGATCATGGGCACTTTAACTCTGGATCCATGGATTATATTATCCATACTACCTGGTTCATATAACTCTATTAAGAGGTATCTTTTCCCTCATGTCTTGTCAGCTGCTAGGGCCTTGATTGCTCGTCATTGGAGGTCTACAGATATTCCATCTGTTGCGGAGTGGGTTTGCGAGTTGAATGAGATTCAATACATGGAGGAAATGGTCTATATGGAGGGGAACATATCTGGAACCCATATAAATGTTTGGTCTCAATGGAAGCATTTTAAGTCCTGTTCGGAGTTCCCCTCTTAGTTATGAACTTTAGGAGCCCATTCTCTATTTTGAAATGGGTTGTGTTGTAGTTTGTTTGTTTGTTTTTTTTCTTCCTTTTTTTTTTCTTTTTTTTAAATCTTAGATGTTTTTTCTTTTTTGTTAATATTTGTTCCTTTAGGATGTATTGTGGGTGAAATTATTTTGTCTTTTCTGGATTTTAGGATACAGTGGTACAGTATATGTTTCTAATTTCCTTCGTTTTTCTATGTTTTAATTAATTTTGTTATAATTTGTAAAGAAAATGTATCGAATAAAGATTTATTATACAAAAATATAAAAGAGCAAAGATAATTTGTAAGGAGACATAAAAAATAAATAAGAAAAAAGGAAAGGAATTTAGGTTTCTTAAATATTTATGATGGTCAATTAGGGGTCTAAGTATAATGTATTCTCTGGCAAATTCTTCATTGAACCTTTTAAACAAAGATAAAAGAAAAATAAAGGGAAAAAAAGGACAAAACTAATGCAGCCATATTTAAAGATTGGCAAGCTGAAATATATTAAACCTTTCCTTTTGGGTTTAGATATGCTTTAAGCTGGCTATACACTGAGTTTTTTCTTGATCAGCCCCAGGGGCTGTGTAGCCGGCAGCATCCTTAACAGCCAGTGACGCTGACAGTGGACAGAGTCCGATGGGGAATACTTCCCCATCAGACCTGCCCCCCTTGTGATTGACAGTAGGCAGTAGGCAGATTCCATATCCAATAGCAGGCTGTCTATTGGCTATGGAATCCGTCCAATGCCTACTGCCAAGCACAAGGAAAGCAAGTGGGTGTGATGGGGAATAGTGATAGTGTCTCAGAGTTTCCCCTAATGGTTCGCCCACTGTCAGTGCCATTGGTTGCTGAGAGACTGTTGCCTATGCAGACAGAAAACCAGACATTTAGCATTTGTTAAGGAGAGCAGTGGCACGTCCCCTCCATTTCCTATAACACTTATTCTGCCGGTGCTCAGTTTCATACCTCTTAGCATGGCTGTGGACTTGTCCTTGGATTGTCACTCTCTTTCCATCTGAGATCCCCCCAAGTATGGCACTCTGGAAGGGGACAGGCTGAATAAAAAAGAGAGGTGTCAGAACCATCAATTAATTTAATACAGTTTACAATAAAATATATTTTACAGATCACAACAAGAGTTTGTATGTCTATTAGCTCAGTATGAATTTTGATTTCCTGTCTTTACTAAGCTTCTATGAATATAAAGACATGAACTGGGGGAAGAATCCTCTCTTACTTCCCTAATCATTGGTCACAAATCTAAGAGCAGATTGGAGTTACACCTGACCTTTAGTCTGCTTATAGTTTGCCTTCCCTAGTCCTGCTTTCCCCTCTCATCAACATGCTAATGAACACTTTATATAAAGCTTTTATGTTTTATTACATACCTTAATTTAAACTCTGTGACATCATCACTGAGTCTCAATGCTTCTTTATGCAATGCAGGCAGATCATGGTTGTTGGGCAGGCCGCTGTGCATAGCTTCCTGAAAACATCAGAGCACCCTATCTCAGTACTTCTATCAGGAGCCCTGAGCCCTGATGCAAGCATTGGGTTGGCTCTTGAGGAGATTTACCTTCATGGGGAGATGTCAGCCTACAAGAGTGGGCATTCCTAGGTAGGCTGCACTTGCATAGATACTGCCCTTGGTAATGCCCATTTGTGATGCTGAGCCTCAATGATTGAAAGAACTGGAATCTAATTATTGAAACGGATGGGCCAGGGACAGTGGTGCTGAGGAGGTAAAAGCTAGATGACGCTGGAGGATCCTCTAACCAGGAAATGAGGCAGCTCTGACTGACTTGCTGCTGCTGCTAATGCACACTGTGAGAAGCTTGCAGTTTAAAGTGAAATCTGAGTAGGCAATTTTAGTAGAGGAGAGGAGCCTGTACAACTGTGCAAGACTGAAGGTAAGGCTGGAGCTCAGTTGAAGAAGTGCCTGGACTTTGTTGATTCTTGTTCATAGAAACCATTCTAACACTTCCCAGGCCTCCATTGGGAAAATAAACCTGTCCCAAATCCATACCATGAAATACAGGGTAACGTCAGTAAAAACCACAATGTCAAAAAGAGATATACAGCATGCAAATCTCATGTTTTTCCTGTGAACTTGGCCTGCTTCACACTGAGCGGTTTTGTAGCGCTTTTTATGTCCTAACAAACGGTAAAAAAATATGCCCCCCTAAAAATCCTATTCATTTCTTTGGCCCTGTTCACATCTGATCGTTTTGTAGCAATAAGCAAAAATCTGTTACTGGAAAAAGAACATGAGCGCTTTTTTGGCATATTGCAGCTCATTTTGGCCCCATAGACCTAATAGGAAACGCTTGAAAACGCGCATTGCTGTGTTTTTGACGCACATTTTATGCACGTTTGCTCATTCATGTTAATGATCTACTATCTGCTCACAAAGACGCGTGTAAAAACGCCCACAATGCGCACCAAAACGTGCATAAAAAAACGTGCAAAAACGCTGTCGCATAGGTGTGAACCCAGCCTTACAGAATTAGTTAAGATTTGCATGTCATTTCAGCTGCCTAATTATCTTGCTCTGCAGATTATGAGTTTGGAACAGTCCAGGTTTAAGACACCAGGCAGCGATAAAAAAAAGGCATAAATGAATACAGTTATCTATTATTACAAATATTAAATGTATTTGAAATGATACCAGTGTATGTAACTGAATTAGACTTGGTATGAGCCTATTGTGATGTCCTCAATAGTAGCACACTAACTGGAAGCAGGAGGGCAGCTCCAGAAGCCAACAAGGGGTGCTGCATACACAAGGAGCATGCTGACAGGAGAGCAGGGTGGATGACCTCACTATTCTGCTGCTGCTCATTTACTGTCCAATAGGCTGTGGAAAGTGTGGTGACCTGTACTGCTGCACTTGAATATTAACTTGGTGGATGTCTACTATGTGGTGAACAGTTTTCTGCAGGTAGACCTGCAGTGTAATGGAAACCTTTCTAAACCTTGTTCCTGTGACGCACAATGGTTACCACTTGAAGACTGGGGTGTTAAACCCCCTTCCTGTCCAGGCCATTTTTCAGTACTCAGCGTTGCGGTACTTTGACCGACATTTTTTCAGTCATGCAATGCTGTACTGAAATTAATTTTATACCATTTTTTGGGGGCACACAGAGCTTTCTTTTGCTGGTATTTAATCACAACTGGGGTTTTTTATTTTTTACTATATTAAGGAAAAATTACAGCAAATTTTGAAAAAAAAATGTTTTTCTACATTATGTTATAATACATTTATTATTACCCAATTTTTTGGTAAAATATAAAAGACGGGGTCACATTGGTAAATAGACACCAAACATGTCAAGCCTTAAAATTGCGCGCACCCATGAAATCGCATAAAACTACCATACCCAAAATTTACCATAGGCGACACTTTAAAAGCTTTTACTACTCATCAGTTTAGTGTTATCCAGCTTCTGTAGCCAGAGAGTGACAGCAGAATGCGGAAGTGATGTAATACATATCATTTCCTGCATTCTGACACCGGAGAGGAGATCAGGGGAGGGGTCGTGTGTTGATCTCCCTCTGATCCCTTGTTACAGAGGTGCTGGTCCCGGGCCTGCAGCGGGCACAGCGCAGTTCAGGACCATCGCTGCGGAGATACGGGAGCACTGACTGGCACCTCATACAAGCGACCCGGTGGCTCTATAGCCGCTGGACCGTTTGTATCTAAACAGGCGTTGTTGCCTGTTTTAAATTTTGCCAGTTTCCCGCTCATGCACGCACGAGTGGGCGGGGCTAACAGCCCGTCTTTAAATGCTCTGTTACATTCAAGAAGCGGTTAAAGTAGCGTTAAATTCTAAAACTTTTTTTAATATTGAATACAGATCAAACAAGTATAGATTGTCCAGCAAAGTATTTGTTTACATTTGTGCCCAAAAACACACTCATCATGTTTCTGAAGAGCTCCAAGTCACTCCCAGCTCGCTTCCCTGAACTTCCTGCCCAGCACAAGATCACAATGGATAGATCAGTCTCCCGCATCTGTCCATCTACTATCTTGGAGAAGAGGGGTGGGGGGGGACAGGTGGGAGGGGAGCAGGTGAATGGCTTGCATTGATGTTCCTGTGGGTTTGTGGAGACACACGCAGCTTACTAACACACAAAAGAGTGGCTCCATAGGACCATGCAAGGGAAAGGAACAACCCTAAAACAGGATATTAGGGCCAGTGCTCAGGGGATCAGCTGATTCTCCAGGAAGCTAAAACTTTTATACATCAAGGAGCAAAACCTATTGTAAGGGATTTCAAAAACGTTTGACTTTAATATTACTATAAGTGTCATTCAGTATTAAAATGGTCCATAATTCCTCAGTTAGACTATAGAATAATCGGTGGTATTGTAATACTGCTGGCAATGTGCCACTAATCATTTTGGGGAAAAAGACCAACTTGGGGTTCCCAGTGCCATTTCACAACTAAGTGAAAGTCGAGTTATAGGTGTACACAGTGGCGGAACTACCATGGATTGGCCTGTGTTGCTGTCCGTCTGCCGGATGCAGCGTTCGCTATTGGCTGGGGGCAGAGGAGCGCGTTAGGCCGGAGCTGTCAGTTATTCTCCCGGTACCGGCGGCTGGTGATGGCGGTGAGGAGCTTCCCGCTTAGAGAACATGGCCACACTGGAGAAGCTGATGAGAGCCTTCGAGTCGCTGAAGTCCTTCCAGCAGCAGGGACCCACCGTGCCTGAGGAGCCGCTACCCAGAGCATGAATACAGCGACATCCCAGGGCACTGCAGGTTTAGAGTGCCAGGGACTGCTGGGAACGTGTAGTGGCCGTATGTGCATCCCTGTCTAACCACAGCTCTGCACGCACTCGGGGCCCCGCTCTCTCCGTGCCAATTTACTGGGGGCCCCAAAATCGGTCCGGGGCCCAGATCGTACATCCAGCGGACACATGACATGCTGCAGCTAATCTGGGGCTCCTGCACCATCAATGTGCTTACACGGGGGCTCACCAAGGGGCCCCAGCGCCCTGACTGCACATACTTTGCCCTGACTGTATACACTGCTGAGCCTAATGGTCTGATGGTTAGTAACCTGGGGCCCCCAGGTTCCTGACAAGAAATTTAATGAGGCACTCTGGTGACAAATGGCCTGCCCCTGGTCCCCAGGATCCTGGGCAACAGATGTCCCAAGACCTCCCAGGATTCTGATGACAAGTTCCACAGGGGCACCCAGGATCGTAACATCAAATGCCCCACTTTGCCCAGGATTCTGTTGGCAAGGGCTCTAGGGGCCCCAAGGGTCCTAGCAGCAAATGCCCTAGGGGCCCCCAGGATCCTGCGACAGATGCCCTAGGGGCCCCCAGGATCCTGTGACAGATGCCCTAGGGTCCCCCAGGATCCTGATGACAGATGAGCTGAAGCCCCTAGTATTTGAAGACAATGCCCCAGGGACCCCCTGGATCATGTCTGCATGTACCCCAGGGACCCTACCTGTTTAGAGGGCCACGTCTGCCTGATCCAGCCAGTATGCGATTTGGGCTGGCTGGATCAGGCAGACACTGCCCTCTAAACAGGCACTGTAGAGGGCCGCTCGCGGGGGCCTCCAGAGGACACACTTGAGGAGCGAGCGGCGGCCGATTAGAGAGCCAGGTCTGATGCGGGCGGGCTGACCAGGAGCTGCGGTGACGGCCGCACGGTAAGTTCGCCCCTGCGCCCGGGGCAGGTGCCCCCTGCATTTCTGCATTGCTGTAAATATTAGGGATGCACCGCCAAAACAACGATACAGTAATGCATCCCTGCTTTCTTTCCTCCCCGCTGGGCGCTGCTCTGTGTCCCATCGGGGAGGAGAGAAAGTGAAAGCCGGCCTAGCGCTGTGTTTCTGGGTTTTTTTTTTTGGGGGGGCCCAAAAAAAAATCTTGCACCAGGGCCCTTTGTTCCTTAGGTCCGCCACTGGGTTTACATGCCCCCCCCCCCCCAAAAAAACAACCAGGTAGGGTATAGACAAAAAAAAAAAGTCAACAAAAGATGAGAAAACAAACCAAAAGCAAAAGATAGAACAAAATAAGAGAAAACATTGTT